TACTGCGAGAAAATGACACTTCCCAAACTGAATTGCGTGCGGGTATAGGGTGAATCACGCACACTTGTAGAAAAGATATTTTTTCTTCAATCGTAAGAAAATGATTGATGCGTTCAATCAATTATTCTTGCAAATCGGAACAACTAACAATAGTGATTTATTCTCTATCTTCTGATAATTAGTGATATATCTATTGTGTGTACCGTTCGAAGCATTATGTATAGGTGAACTTATTGCAGAAGCGAGTATGCCCATGGTGTATGGCCTCTAGGATTAAGACATTTCTAGAAAATGAGCCAAAAAAACTTCTTCTTTATTTGGTGTTTTCAGTTTTTCACAATTGCACCAATCAATAAAGCCCGTTGGCAATAACTCATGTGTATCGCATGTGTAACTGGAAGATTTTCATCGCAATTCCACTGAATCGACAATGACAGTAACGCTCTGTCTGTCACTCTGAGAATCACACTAACTAATTTGTGTTTTGATTGACATGACAACAATTGTTTCGAGGCTATATATGGAACTGGATCGAGCGAAAACATCAAGAGCGATGGACTGAACCCCTTCACATGCACCACGGGAAAGTATTAGTTGAAGAACCGTCAAAAAATAAATCTGAAGAACTACTCGAGATGAGTAGGAACCCAGTCAGAACAATAACGGGACTTTCCACTGGTCACAGCCCAACAAGAGGACACCTGAATAAAATGGGACTGTACAATGGAGAACTTTTCTGCATACAATGCCCTAAGGGGTCCGAAATGGCCAAACACTTATCGATAGAATGCGAGGCATTGGATCGCAAAAGACAAGAAATATTTGGGCACCCTAGGCTGACTCCCGAAGAATTCAACAGCCAACTGGTAAAGAATCTGTACAGACTGGTGCAGGGAATGAGAGCTACGAAATGGGTGCTGTAAAATGAACTGGAATGCACAAAAATCCCAGGAGGCTGAGGTGTAGACGTTGACAGGACCAGCATCCAAGGAAAAATAAAAAACTCTTCGATATCTTCTGAGCCCGTGAAATAAGTTCAAAATACATATAGGTACGATGATTCGTCATGAACTTCAAGAAAGGATTCAAATCTGAATATGATAAACTTTCCTTATATATATCATTCTCCATGGCACAGTATCAGGATTGACAACATAAATAGAAATAAACCAGCATGAGCCTTAGATCTTTGCCCCAAAAAACGTTTCAAATCACCGCCATCTAACATTGAAATCATGATATCCGATTTGTATCCAATTCGAACACATTCGAGTGTTCCAATAGGGTACGATAAATACACCATCAAATAGTACAAGACATTTCGCACCTTTCACTAAGGTAATGATGCCGAAAATTTATGTGTTGCTTTGAAAACATCTCCCTCGAATTTATTCGAAGTCCTATTACCGGCGAGGTATTGAAAAGAAAATTCGGAATATATTTTCGCGTTCGAGTTTTCTTTCATGTGGATTCTCAGTCTTCAGGTCTGGGAATATATTGATGTCGTTTAATCGGAAGTATAGGAAATACATTACCTTGTTCGCGACTGGAAATACGGTCGCTGAGTATTTCGACGTTGTATATGATGGTTTTCTATGTACTACGAGATGTTGACGTTGTCTGGGACAGATTGAAGAAGACTTTTCGTCTTCGTTTCGTAAATTGAATTGTAATTTATGAATTCTCGAACTCTCACATACTTTTTGCCTAGATTTATAATTGTATATAGGCAAACATCCCGTGTCATCATGTCGAAATGTTTTCTGATTGTTGTCTGACCAACTCGACCTTGAGATTTATCTAACACCTCTCTACCCCTCAGGGGCTCACAACTTCTGGGTACAGATTTACAGAAATGGTGAACCTGCGGTACCCAAGCCAGATATTCACCAAATTGATGTCACCTTGTCTTGGGTGATATCATCTTCTCCCTATTTCTCAATCTATCCTGTCGGTCATTTGCTCTGTTCATCTTCCTATTCAAGCCCAACCTCGCCATCAACTGGTTTAAGGAGGACAGACCGCGGCCGCTCGACAGTAGAAGCGTTTCGGGACTATCTTTGTGGGCCAGATGGAACAATTTGTGGACATCTGGGCAAGGATGGGGTGATCTGCTAATATCTGTCTAGGTGATCAAGGACTGGTCAACGATCAAGGCTCTGGCAACCTAATTCAAGCTGTGGAAAGTATGGTGTCGCTAACGGGGCCTCTGAGAAACTGGGAGACATCTCATAGTAAACATCCCCAGCAAATCATGTTGTGCCTCAAGGATCAGTCCTAGGGCCAATCTTATTCCTCTTATATATCAATGGTATGGTATTTCTTGATAAATAAGGCAAAATTTTGTTATTTGCGGACGACACCACTATTCTATGGCAAGACTATATTGATGAGATGATACACACGAATGTGATACGAGATATAAAAGTAATCAAAGATTGGTATGACTCAAACCTACTCTCTCAATATTGAGAAACCCGATATTCTGACTTTTCATTGTAATGGAAATCGCTAATGACATATTAAAAAATAAAACATCAACAAGATTCTCAGGTTTGCATATCAATAACAAGTTGATGTTCAATGACCATGTAATATTTATGTGTAAGAAGCTAGCATCTGGATGCTATGCCATCAGAACAATTTCCTATGAATCAGGGTATGCATCTGCCAGAACAACATACTTCGCCCTACTTGAGTCCCAACTGAGACATGGAATAGCGTCTTGGGGAAGCTGTTGTAATCAGTTATTCCAAAGGAGTTTTATGTTACAAAAGAGAGATCTAAGATATATGTCTCATGCAAAATCAACAAATTCTTGTAGAGAGTTGTTTAGGGATTGTGGTATACTAACTGTAATTTCTTCTTATATCTCGGAAACAGCTTCTCTGATTCATAAGAATATACGGTACTTACCACTTGTCTCCTCACGATATAATACAAGACAGAACGGCCAAATAGAATTGATAATCCCCCGCACCACTATGATTGAGGAATATAATATCTACTCTGGAATAATAATGTACAATCATCTGCCAGATGACATAAAAGGATTCGCATGTTATAAAGAATTTCGTACTGAGGTGAAAGCATTACTACTCCAAACATCATTGTACAACTTGACTGAGTATTTTCTGCAAAGCTTTAACTAGAGTCCTTCAAATTGTTGTGTACTTCACAACTTACTTTGTCTGTCGGATCAATTTATTTTTATTTATTTATACATACATTTCAAGTGTTGTCAACAAGTGTATGATTCTGAAACTAGTGTTGTTCATTTATGTATTTCTTATGTATATTATGTGTAACAAGCTTTGTCAACAAGTGAGAACTTAAGACAATAAAGTATCTTCTGAATTAAATTGAATTGAGCCTTAGGCATGGGGTACCACAGGACTAGACCAACCCCTTTCTTCATCAGTCGTAGGAGAAGGAAAACTTTTCACCTTCTTCGTAGACGAGAACAGGGATCGGAAGAGTAATCTTCAGGAACCTGAACCAAAAGGGTATTTTATATTGAATTGTCCCTTGATAAGCACCATGAATCGTATATATATGGTGAAATTGATAACGGCATGTGAGTAATATACAATGTGCCATTAGGTCTAAGTGTCGTCGGAGACATCGGTCAGACGAGCCTACAAACGGGGTGGAGGGTTTCGTGGGTATACCCGTTACCACCGATCGGTGGTAACGGTATACCCTGGAGTCAGGGGACACCCACACTATGTCAACCACCTCGAAGGAAATGCAAGAACTCTTCACACGCATTTTCTTGGGAATAGGTGACACTATCTGTTCTGAAAAAACTGGCTCAAATGGGGAATAGTTTTGCTCACGAATACAATGATGTATTACACTCTCCATGAATAAGCCCTAGATAATGTCAAATCATAAACTCAAAATAGCATATATCATGATTATAAGGAATTTCGTCCACCATCATCATGAATCTTGAGGCGGAATAAGACGACTGATGTGAAATCAGTTATTGAAACAATTCCCCGACATAATAACACCCCATACTACACACTCCTCATCATTTTTTATTCACATCCTCTTATTCTTGTGGTTTGTTTGAATAGCCCGTGAGCTTTCGAACACAGTAACTTAATTATCATTACAAGGACGAAAAAGAAGAGGGGCATTATGCATTTTTCAACGAGTATTCATCAGATTATGCAACAAAGACCACAGGATTTTTATAATAATACATCTGAATAAAAAAAGATGTAGAACTTCCCATGTACAAGCTGCTGTAATTGTCTGTAATTCTGTGGCATCTTCAGAATAATATGTTGTTTTGTAGCTCATCGACATTGTTAGGCTTTATACAGGGCGTTTCACTTCTTGTTTCGAATGATTCCACAGAGCCACAGAAAAAAATCTGTGGAGATTAAATCTGGGGATCGTGCTGGCCATTGTATCGGGCCAATATTTCCAATCCAATTTTTCCTAAACTGGTTATTCAAATGTCTAGTACATCAATCGTCTGAATCCACCTCTAGATTCATAATGATTGTGATCGAAATTGATCAATATGATATGCTATATCTAGTTGTTGATTTTACAGTATCTAGGGCATATTCATGGAATGTGTTGGAATGAGTTGGGACAGCCTGTATAGGAGAACTTCCTGCGTTATCATGGCGTAGCCTCCCCATTTTATTACTACTACTTCTACTCAGCTGATAGAAACCTGATAGATTCTGAATAAAAAATGATACAATCCGGGATGGAATTGACGCATTTTGAATATTATTTCGGTAGCGAAATTCGACATACACTTCCTGAAATACAATTTTTTGATCCGAATTACATGATATGTATCTCATACCAACTCAGAATTAGAATTGAGAAAGTAGTAGTATACACCCGTATGAACCAATTAACAATATATCTTCAGAACGTCGTCACGAAACCATGACTCATTCGATTTTCAATCTCACTATGCACGACAGTATGATATTCTTCTCACGAAACTCCATCTTCTCTTGCAGATCCATAATTTCCGGTCACCAAAAGAGACGACCTGCCGGAGACGGCATGGACTCTGAGATGGACGAGTCGGAATTCGCGTTCGGAATGTCGGGACATTTGGGTGAGCGGCAGTGCCCGTGCGATCACGTGGTGTACAGCCCGACGGCGTACGGCGGTTGTTTACAGGTGAGTTTGTCTTCGATCAGAATCAGAATCGGTCGCGTTTTTGTGGAACTGTTCTAGGAGTAAATCTTTACGCGGTCGGGTTTTTCCAGAATCGTCTTGGAACGGTCCTAGAACTATCCGAAACCAGTACCTGCTCTCGAGCATAAACCGTTCTAGGATTATTTTTGGAGCATGCTCATTTCGTTTAGTCAATATTTAGTTTTCGATTCTGTCATCAGCTGTAGCGTAACGTCATAATTATATCTTTTTGTTTATTCAACTGTCTATTGCTATTTTCACTATTTTCTCAATATTATGGAGTTAGTACATTTATTTGATAGTAGTAGTTATTCATCTCCAGGAAGTAGTGGTGAAGAAGTTCCTTGCTGAAGTTGCTGAAAATATTGTGCCTAATCTGATAATTCTCGAACTTTTGTTAGATTATCCGAAAAATGAAGGAATATGTAGGGGATACTTTGCCTTTATATTCAGATACATAATACATTGAACATTTCAGGTGGGTGTCGAAATTCATGTAGGTACAAATTACAAAACATATTGAAAATCTAGCTACGAATGCTATGAGGAAATATATTCACCATTCCTCCACTAGAGGGCTTCCAGAAATATTCTGAATAGACTCAAAGGAGAGTTTGAAGCTTCAGAATATTATTCGAATAAAGATACAGGTCCCAAACTATCGTTTTTTTCGCAAATTCTGAATGAAGGTTATGTTCTCAGAGGTTCTCTTCTGCCGCGTTCGGGTTTTCATAATTTGTGAATCGTTCTGAAACAGTCCTAGGATTCGAAACGACTGCGCACTAGTTCTACGCAGTTCGAGATCGATTCTCGACCAGTTCTGAAATCGCAACCCGAATGAACCTTACTTTACTTATTTTCACAACTGAAGGTGATTTCAAATGAGCAAAACGCCCTCATGCGGTTATTCAAGTAACTGCTGAAAAGTTTCCATGCATTTTATCGAAAAGTTTAGTGGTCATTGTGATATATTTCGAGTTTAATTTTCTCAGTAGAGTATCTTGAATCATCACTGCTCGGTTTCACATGTTATTCATGAAAGTTTTCTGACTTCGAGATAAGATTCAGTTTCATTTCATTCCCAGAAGTGGGAAATCACAGTAGGAATTTGAAGAATGATATCCTTACTCGAAAGCAAAGCATATACAGGGTGAGTCATGAAGAACTGTACATACTCCTACCACAAATAGAGGCCTTTGAGGAGAACGTCTAATGACTATCAAAAAGTGTCTTTTCGATTCGTCTGATTTATTCATGGAATATTTCCTAACTAAACATTGATCGACTGACATTTCCAGAATCGGAAAAATACATAATCGACTGACATTTCCGGAATCGGAAAAATCCAGGACCGTTTCTGAAAAATTCCGATAGTTCAGTTTTTATCGAAAAGTTCATCCTGTATATGGTTTTCGTAAACTGTGACAGGGAATTTTCAAAGCACATAAACAAGCATCAAAATTGGAATATTCAAAATTTTCCTCACACATTCACAGAATTTTTCAAGAAACGATGAATTTAAAGCAAAAACGAGAGTTTGACAACAAATTTATTCATTCGAAGATAATTATTTCGCAACGCATAAATTTCACAAATGAAAGTTAGACTCACATTTCCAATGCTTCAGCCCAATGGCAATCAACATGTTTTCTTTCATTTCCATTCCTGAATTTCGTGATTGCATTTTCTGTGGAGGGTAATAATCACCCTGTAGAGTGTATTTTTACCGAATTAGTGGATGGGGTATAGATAATAATACTGTGAATTGAAATCATATGAACGAATATCAAATTTGATGAATAGAGAATTTCAAGGCAAATAAGAGACGCTAGAGAAATATACAAGGTACCATTCAAAAAAATTCAGTTGGTAGTTTGATAAGAGTTCGGACACAACTGAACTTTTGTCCTTTTCTATTTTCTATAATACAATGGTTTAAGTGAATAAAAGAATAAGACATATATTCTGCTCTTCGTCTTTTCAATTCCCCTAGTAGCGCCTGATTGTCAGATACGATTTTAGAGGTTATATTTTCTGTCAAATCAATCATAGCCGTAGATGAACAATGGATATAGGGTACAAACACCCACTTCAATTCATAGTGATACACTTCTAGAAGAGCAACTATTATATGAAAATGAAAAAAATGCATGTAACAACATCTAAATACCAGAGAATATATACATATGGATAAACTTATAGCTAGCCTATTGTATGTGAAACTGTACTCCAGTGAAGTATTCCTGAGACAATTTTAAGAAATTAAGTCTATATAAGCTTGTGTCCGGAAATGCTTCATACAGGATGTTGAAATACAGAGAACAAATCATTTTTTGATGAAGATTTCATTAGAAAAAAAAAATTATTTTGACGAGACCTACCAATTACTTGGTTTTGTAAAGTTCCCAGCAACTTCACTTAGCGCCCTAGGAGCTTAGTAACATGGATATCAATATAGAAAATATCTCCAAAACGATACCTTCAGCGTAATTAAGGCCCTTATAATAATTCCCTTGATACATAAATATCTATTTACTTTTCACTGTTGAATGTTGAATTCGGTCGGCACCAAAAACGCCATTCAATAATATATCACGTTGTAGTTTACTTGCTTTTCTTATTTTCAAATTTTCAATTTTATAATGTAATTTTGCGATCATTTCCCCTTTTTCCATTTTGTTTTGTATTTTGTGTGATGAATAATGGAATTTTGTTCTTGAAATCGTCTGCTTTATAAATTGATGGAACAGCAGATTCTCTCAATCAGATTTTGAAATCTTCTGTTTGAAAATGAGCCTAAAATATAGATTCATTCTAATCAGATGATGTTATGAGAGGTGAATTTCGATGAGTACCTCACGAATTTCGCTCGTCTTCAAATTGATTTTCCACTTAGGCCGTTTCATATCTTCCTTCCCTAAGCGAATGCTGGATATATTATATTTGATTCGGAAAATGGAATAAATGATATCCATTTGTTTCAGAATTGGCACAATTTATTACACAGCAAGTGATTTCCATAGCTGCTTTCATCTCGAAAGTATAATAATTATAAAATTTCATTTCAATTCTGACGTTTATAAAATTAATTGTCAAATTCAAAGAATTTTTGAATGAGAAAGCGCGGGACGACTATGGTGCTCTTGTCACAATGCAGGGTGTGTAACTTTATAAATCTAAACATTCAAAAACCCTAACCGTTGTCATTTCTGTGTCCGAACTCTTATCAAACTAATACCATCCAGTGACTCTACTTCCAATCAAACAGGTAGTTGGAAAAAATTGTTGTTGGGTGCAAGGAAAGCGCCATCATCGATAATATAACCCTTGTGAATTTAAAATATGTATCTCTTCAAATAATAAAACTACAGGCTGTTACATGTCTCCTCTGTGTCATCCGGTATAACAATATACATAATATGTTGAGGAGCAATTCATATATACATGGAATAATCAATAATAAAATAGAAATGTGACGTAAATTTGATTACTGTACAACCCTCTTGTTATTAGGATCATTCAGTAGTGATAAAAGGGTGGTCTATTCAGAATATCCATACCCTCGATAATTCGCAGAAAATCTATTTCACAAAAAAATACCAAAACATGTCAATTTATCTTGTAGGGGGACACTGTATATGCATGTATAACATGACGCTCATTCCCCATCTAAATTATTGAGGGGGTTGCTCTGGAAAGTAGAGGGTTGAAGTATGCTTTTTTTTTTTTCGTCAAACGGTGTCGTCCTCCAAATGAAAATCGACGTATTTCGTAATTTTTTTGTGAAATCATTTCCCTGTGAGTTATCAAGGGTGGATACTTGTATGGACCACCCGGTATAGTCGCTGTGTGCTGGAAACATAATAATAATAATAATAATACCTAATAATAATAATATCAGTTTATTATGATCGACAAGAAATTTTGTGTACAATTCGTCAAGGCTATAGATAAAGTAAATACAATACAATAAAACAATCTCAAATAATATGAGTTTTACAAACATTTGGATAAAATACATCACATTCACATGAAGAAAAAAAAATTAAAATCAGTTCATGAAACAGTCAAAAAACTCACCTAATGAGTAAAACATATGTTTAGTGAGGTGAGCTTTCAGGCTTTTCCTAAATTTGAGGTGAGTGGTACAATCTCTGACACTTCCTGGCAAATTGTTGAAAATCTTGATACCCATGTTTGTAGGGCCAATGTAGGTTAGTTGTAAGGTGTTTTTAGGTGTGTAAAGTAGGTTGTTATTCCTTGTTGAATAGGAGTGTATGTCAGAGTGTGCAATTAAACTATTTCTATTGAGGTATATATAGCAGGCAACCTCGAGTATATACAGACAAGCTAGAGGTATAATGTTGAGTTGTATGAACAGTGGCTTGCAGGGGTGAGACCTTGGCTTATCGAGGATGGTTTGAATAACTTTTTTCTGGGTTAAGAAGAGATCTTTGAAGACTGGGGATGTACCTCACAGAATTATGCCATATATTAAACGTGATTGTATTTCGGCAAAGTAGAACATTCGGAGGCTATCGATATCTATGACTTTGCGCATGCATCTAAGTTGATAAATTCTGGAATTCATCACTTTAATTAGGCAGTTTGAATGTTCATGCCAGTCCAGTGATTCATGTAGTGATATTCCTGAAAATTCCATGGTAGCTACTCGATCAAGATTAGAAAGGTTTAAATGTAATGTCAGTGGGTCAACTGTCCTTTGCTCAGTATGGAATATAAGAAAATTTGTTTTACTGAGGTTTGGATATAACTGGTCTGCCGAGAACCATGTGTACATTTTCGCAAGCAGTGAATTGCATTCTTGTTCATTCTGACAGTTGGATTCGTTTGAGATCAAGAAAGAGGAGTCATCAGCATAGAGAGTGATCATATGCCCTGGGAGATGATCAATCAGGTCAGCAATATAAAGGGAGAAGAGCATAGGTGCTAGAACACTGCCTTGGGGAACCCCCATTATGAGTTCTGTGGTGTAAGATTGTTCAGAGACTACTGTACCGTCTTTATTGGTAGCTTTAATTTCAACATATTGACTTCTATCAGAGATGTAAGATTTAAATCAGTTTGCGGCTGTATCACGTATTCCATAGGTCCAAAGTTTGCTCAGGAGATGATCATGATGGACGCAATCAAATGCTCTGCTGAGGTCACAGAAGATTCCCACTGGGCATCTTTTATGTTATAACTCATCTAGTACTTTATTATAAAATTCAACAGTAGCAGTGGTCGTAGATTTCCCTTTTCGAAAACCGTGTTGTTCATTTGGAATAAGTTTGTATTTTTCTGTGAAACTGGTAATTCTATCTAACATGCAGTATTCATATAGTTTTGCAAAAGGAGATAAGCCCGAAACGGGTCTATAATTCTCCATTTTCGTCTTGTCGTTTTTTTTAAAGATTGGTGTTACTTTGGCAAGTTTTAAGTGGTCAGGAAAAACTCCAGACTGAAAGGAGTGGTTGACCAAATGAGTTAAAGGTGTTACCAGTTCTTGTGAGCATTCTCGGACAATGCTAGATGGTATTCCACCTGGACCCGTGGACCATTTATTCTTGAATTTTGAAAAAATTGTAAGCATTTCCATTTCTGAGAAGGGCAGAAGAAAGAAAGAGTTTGGAATTCTTCTGGCTGGGCTTATTGAAGAAACAGACATGTCAATGTTTTCAATTACCTTCTTCGGGGCATCTAAAAAAAACTTGTTGAATAGATCAGCAATTTCCTTGGTGTCTTTGGTTTTCCCATTTCCATGGGTAATCTGAAGTTTACTATCCGTGTTTCGTTTTTTGTTTCTCAGTTCATTGATAATACTCCAAGAAGACTTACTTATATTGGTGGAATTTATAATACTATTAGAGTTATACTGTTTCTTATGACTTTCAACCAAATTTTTATGTTCTTGTTTTTTTGCATTATACACATTTTTTAAATCTCTGAGATTTTTTTGTAAAAGATAGAGATCTCTCAGGTCTTCACTTGACTTTTTTATTTCAGGTGTCACCCATGCTTTTTTCTTGGAATTACATTTTTTATTTGTGAAAGGGAAACAGTTATCAAAGTGATTCCAGAAGATTTCAAAAAACATGTTCCAACAATCATTCAACACTCAACAGAGCTGATTTAGAGACAATTTATTCATTTATTTTTCTCTGATTCTCTCTTTCATCTTATCCAGAAGTTACTAGAAACATTTCAAAACGAAGTGTTCTGCCCCTCTGGCCCGTTTACACGAACTCCTAACCATTAAACATCGTTGAAACGAGGTCCAGAAAAAGGGCAACGCTTAAAACCACACTATATCATCGACATAGGTTCCACACGTAGTTGGAGAGCAAGTTATTACGTCATGCACTCCAAATTAGTAATTAAATGAATAGCCCTTTACGGGGCCTTTTTGAAGACCGCGAGGGAACTCTGTAATCTAGCGTATTATACATTACAATATGGGAGTTTGGAGTTGCCTCTCATAGAACTGAAAGTCGCTTCGGTATAGGAGTTCCAATGGTGTTTGCATTATCTATGAGGTCGACCCGTGGAATAAAATGAGGTGTCGAAGGCTTATATGTGAAATATTGCCGGGATTCATTTGGGAAGGATGTGCAGAAAAAAATGTCATATCTTTTCAGTGGATTAATGAATGATGGACGATTTTTGTGAAAATCCTTTGACATACTTAGTACTCATTGAGACCACGCGAGAAATGTGGATGATTGGAAATATTCAGATTTACAATGTCAAAAATAAAAAAAAACTGTTTTTGGTAATTAAACCTGAATCAGGTACATATTGCGTTTGAATCCTGTATGTTATGTGAATGCAAATCTAGCTAGTATATCAGGTATGCCTAAATCCACTTTTCTGTAACAAAATTTGCCTGATAGTCGTTCCTGGAATTTTGACCTATTTAGCAAACAGTAGTTGGTGTGCGGCCTTCATAATCTGTATTTTGCAGATCTATTTACATTTTCGAAGCTCGTTGAGTAGTACATAATAAAAATCAAGTTTTGGAAAATCGGTTACAGAATTTAAAATCGGGAGGTTGTTGCGAGTTGAAATCTGAAATCGCACACACTGTATATAACTTTGTACTCGAGAATAAGCTACTGGACTGATAGTGAATAATTGGCATTCAATCGATCAATCAACTTTATTATTCCCAAGAAACAACATTTGTTTATAGCAGGAAACATGGTGAATATATGAATATATTTGACAAAATGAAGAAGACAGTAAAATAAGACTCACACTCGAGAAGAGATAATTTTTTTTAAGTTCAACTGAAAATGATTCATAATTGACTCAGCTGTTATGTACCCAATGAAAAACTATAGTAGTTGTACGAGAAAACTATGAAGATGAGATAAGATGTCAACATTACAGGAGTAGATGTTTCTTTGATTCCTTTTAAAATTTTTCAATCCTTTCATTCAGCTTTACGTTATTTGGTAGTGAATCGTATTGTATCATTCCTTAAGGACCCAAATTAATTTTTGCAACACTGCTTACGAGATTTTGATGTTAAGAATGTGCTATCATGGCCGCCAATACGCGATGTTTTGGGATACGTCGAATACATGATGACATCAGTTGTTCTGCTGTTACCTCATTGGTTAGATAATCTTCCATTCCTACTCTTGAAGCAAGGTTGTGAAATCATCAATTATAATCAAGACATTAAAAAGCTATTAGAGTCCTGTCGTTCCATTGGAATAATAATGAGAATGAAAAATATATATGATGTAGACATAAAATTGATAGGACAGTGACAAAAGTCATATAATTTATATACCGGAAGAAATGATATTATAAAATTGGATTGTTGTTGAATATCTTATAAGGTAGAATCATTTTGAATATCATCATGAACAAAAAATGATAAATAAGAATATATCTGACTGAGATTATCAATAAATGTTTTCTTATTCATAGTATATTTCTCATTGATAATTTCAACCATCTCCAAGAATAATCCTTTGTTGAATTTTTTTCTGAATGCAAAATTTTGGTTTCCTCTAATTTCATATTATGATCATTAGTGATGGCGTGTTCAGTCCACAATTACTTTTGAGAAGTCTGCAATCACTTGCATGGCCAGATATCTTTGATTTGAGATTCTGAGTAGTTTGACCAATATATTCAAGATTACAGTCATTAAAAGGAATGCAATAAACTACACATGATCTGTTCCAGATAGCATTATCTTGTTTGAGATATGTATATATTGATTTGATCGATACTTTAGGAAGATGTATGAATTCGAACTGGTAGATCTCACAGAGGCAGTAGACGCTGGAACTGCTACTAATCTACAAGATAGTTTGTTATTTCAACTTTTGATATCAAATATTTCACAGCTATGCTTTATTTTGTCATCACTGGAAAGAGTGGTACTTGAGTTTCATGTTTCTGATGTATCAGAATCATAGATAATACGTCTTCTGAGATAATCACTCCATTCATAATTTCAAAGTGAGTAAAGAAGATATATAATATTGAGGATGATATATAATATTGAGGAGATAAAAACCAACAGAACAAAACAAAATTCGAAAGATTATAGGTTATGGTTATTCTTGCTGCCAGTGTATCAGTAATGCCAAATACGTTCCGAAATGAGAAGAAAATTCGAATCTACTACCAATGACTGACGGGCTATCTACTATTACTGTTTAGTATTCTCAAATTGCTTACTGTGGCAATTAATGTCAGCAATATGCTGGAACATGACCGATATCTTCTCCTCAAAGTAAGAATTGGACGTGAAGTTCCACATTGAGAGTAAGATAACGCAAGTCTGCTTGAGCCTTCCCATAACTTAAGATTTGATATTTGTTCGAATAGGCCACATAGTTTTTTCCGAAAATTTTCAATGAAACAGGGCACAGCCTTGAGGGATATCCGGCGAAATTTTGGGATTTATGACTTTTACATTGACCTCACGCTTCAGTATAACGCCAAACTGGCAAGACTCATAATGTTAGCTACCAATGTGCATCATTGATGATTTTAGGACCAAAATATCGACCGAAAACACAAAAATAAACGGAATTGAATGTTGAGTTCTGACTCTATTTGAGAATTGGAAAAAATAGTCCACTAGCCCATTGTTAGCTCATTTATGATTCATTCAGGTTGATGGCTGATATCTTTATTTCAAGGTAATGGAGATGATTTTGTGTTTTCTGATCCTGTGAATCTGAGAGCTCGCATCACTTCCATCAGGTTCTTTCGTCATGGAAATCTTTCTAGCCGAGGTCATCAATTCTGAAAAAGCAGAGCGGTTAACGCGAAATGAACAAAGCACTTTGTCGCCAAGTTCAAACGATCCATCACTAATGAAGAACTATTACGAGTCCTCCATTCGCCGTGCGTTCCGTTCTGTCCTTGTATGTCCTCGATTAGAATTAGCATTCGGAACTTTGTGCTGGCTTCGCAGCGATAGTCCTGGCTGAAACGTGGATTTTCAGGCCATCGGAAGTAATTGAAATGGCGCTTCGAGAGCTAGAGACAATAGAAAGGATTATCGATTGGAGGAAAACCCCAACGAGGATACCTTTCATTGAATCGCCAATCAACTAATCCGTTTAATTCCTCCGAATTCGGAGCGATAATCATTTCCAATAGGTAACTGAAGTTATTTGCACCATCTGGTGATATTTTGATTGCCGACTAGATCGCACTTCATCTTTCATTCCATTTGGCCTCTATTTCAGGTTATCTTCATCTCTGTTACTGTAAAAGTAGAGCGTGAAGTATTACTCAAGACTTCTCAATCCTTACCATCATTACTTGAAATTTCTCCGAATTCTCGAAAAGAAAAAACTAGCCTAGCCTAGCCCACACTTTCAACTAGACAGGATAACCTTGAACAATATTATTAGTTCAGCCACCTAAGAGAATAGATGTCCATTTGACATAATGATCACTGATCAGTGACAGTGCGCAGACCCAGGCAAGATGACGTTCATATTTTGTTTGACAAATAACGATTGACGTGCCTTCTTTGTTAAGTTTTCTCCCTGTTCAGAAGTGCGATTTTTTCCGTTTCGAAGTGTTTTCTCACAGCCAATTATCACTTTATTTATCTAATATATTAAATTCTCCTGTCCCGGTCACGGTGTTAGTGGTCGAACTCCTCCGAAACGGCTCGAACAATTCGTATGAAATTTTTTGTGCGTACTCTGTAGGTATGAGAATCGGTCGTAATCTATTTTTCAAATCGAAAATTCAAGATGGCGGATCCAATATGGCAGACGAGTATTGTTATCCGATTCCATTCAAAATTGGTATTTACGGGTTTTCGGGGTCGGAGATAAGGATTCTTTCGTCAAATTATGGCAATTCAAGATGGCAGATCCAATATGGCGTAGGAGATTTGTAATTATGGTCAGATTCTATTCAAAAATTGATATCTGGGATTTTTCGAAGACGGAGATTATGATTTCTTCATCAAAATTAGTGAATTCAGAATGGCAGATCCAATATGGCGGACGAGTTCTGTAATTATGGCCAGATTTCATTCGAAATTAGTATCTGGGGGTTTCCGACATTATGATTTTTTTACAAAATTAGGAAATTTAAAATGGCGGATCCAATATGGCACACGAGTTTTGTAATTATGATCTAATTATATTCAAAATTGGTATCTGAGGGTTTTCGGGGTCGGAGATTTTGGTTCGTTCGTCAAAATTTGGAAATTCAAAATGGCGGATTCAATATGGCGGACGAGTTGTGTAACTATGAACCGATTCTATTCCAGATTTTTATCTGGGAGATTTTGGGATCGGAGAATATGATTCTTCATCAGAATTAGGGAATTAGAGATATTTTCTTGAAATAATTGTATATAGAAAAACAACGTTTGCCGGCTATCAGCTATTGTAATAAATATTAGTGTGAACAACTAATGAAACACTCTTTTATAGATAGCCAAAATAAAAAAACGGGAGTAGAAAATGAAGAGTAGTTTGAAAAAATGAAGAGGTATAGAGTACCGAACTGAAAAGGAGTAGAAGATAAATAGAGTAGTTTGAAAAACTAAAGAATACCGCTTTTATTGATTGACAAACTTAAGAGAAGTAGAAATGAAATAATGAAAGTTTTCTGATAAATATTTACCTGAAAATTTTTTTCTATAGAAATTATGTTTATGGCAAAACAACGTTTGCCGGATCAGCTAGTATTATATATTATATTATAGTGGATGGATGAGAAACTCAAAGTCATCCTCACATTTCTTATTGAAATGATCGAAGGTCATTGAAGGTGCATGTTTTGTGATTATATAAGCCCATCATCAGCAGATAATTGGTTCGAAGTTCTAGAGGAACTGGTATGGAATCAGGATATAGATGCAATGATTGCTCATTTACATTTGAGGTAAAAAGGTAGAAATTCTAATAAAGAAGACCATATGAGAGCAAAAAGGCGAATGCTCCATGATCTGGAACACAAACAGTAAATGAATTTGTAAAAGCATTCCAGTATAGAAGAACTTATTTTTCAATGACAACAACGTAACTTTCTGAATGATAAAAATCACTTTAGCTGCCTCACATTTCTCAATTCATCATAATTAGCTAAATTACTGTCATTTCCCTAGAGAAGACTTCTTATATGTAACAAACGCGATTTTTGATACCAATCTGACGTAGTGTTGTTCTCTGATGTTGCATCTTCTATCATATAATTATTATTTCTATAGATATCTTATTTTGTGTTCCGTGATTTGGTTGACTTGCTGGTTATTTCCGAAGCCACATCACACTTTCAATAGTTTGATATTTTCTGGCGTAATTGCCACTTTTCGTTGATTCAAGGGCACGTGCCGGCCCTTATAAAATATGAACCCGACCCTCTGACAATAATTTTATAAAAAAGTCATACTTTTATAGGGAACACAAATTTTACATTAACAGTAACTTTTCCTATTCTGAACTTCCTTTAAAAAATTATGTACTGCTTGTTTTCCAGATCATGGAGCATTTGCCTTCGTTTGCTCTGTTATTGTCTACTTTATTTGAATTCCAACTTTTTTGAATTTTGTTGAACATAACCCACAAGAACATTATATCAAACAAATATTGTGTTGAATGATTATCTAGTTGCATTTTCGCCACCAGGTGGCGTTTCTTCCAACCTTCATATACATATACCTACCTGAAACAACCATTTATATAATTATATCAGGCTGTCCTAGTATTTCTTATGACGCATATACAAGCTAATAGTCTTGAATCAACTGAGGAAATTGATCTCTAATTTCTCTTAGTTTTGAAATTCAATTATTGGATTTTTTTTATATCATTCAGCAAAATATTTTGTCAATTCAAAATACAATTTGCTTGACCGAAGAATATATATTGTTATTTTAACATATTCACTCTCTAAAGAACTGAAAATTTCGTCGTCACTTGAATGAAATTATATAATCATTCCAATCAACTGAATCGTTCATAAGGGCTGACATTGTATTGTAGGAACAAAATAGTCTTTGTTTATTCAACCAATTCCTGCTGTTAATTTGAAATGAGTAACATCAAATTAATTTCGAATTGAAAACTGACAATAATCATTTGTTGCGGTGACAAAATATTTTGTCGTGGATATATGACACTCAGATTTTGTTGAATTTACAAAAATGTTGTAGTTTCAAACAAAAATTTTTTCTGTGTAGCGATCAACAAATTTCAGATAAAAATAGGAAGTGTGATTCTCCTCCATCACTTCAACCTGAATACTGCTTCAAGATTCGATGATTTCACGTTCCAGAATCAAAATGCGAAGGATGACAAGAAAACTTTTCCACGGCACCTAAATATGATGTATCTGTTTTTCTAACGTCACGCGTAGGTGAATGGACAGAACATCTCCATCAGCCTGGGATATGGAGGATATGAGAAAATGGCATAGGAAACGATATTTTATGTGTTGGGTATAGAGTCTCAACATTTATCATTCGGCAAAACAGTAGAAGGATATATTGGGCGATCGATGGGCTGTTCTGGAAAGAAATAAGAATCATGACATTCAAATTGTCCGAGTCATTTTTATTGAACACTCTCATTCAAAGACTGTCTGTAAGTTAATCGAAGAGGTGGTAAATTCATTATTCCAGATTTTTTCGTGATTTTATCTCCTCGTCTCTAAAAAATGAGGATATGAATACTTCTTCAATATAAAGGTATATTGAAAAAATATCAAATTTTTACTTATATTTGGACGTTTCGAGAACAAATCTGCTTCTGTTTTCAACATAACCTATGTCTTACATGTCTGGGATGTTATAGATCGATTTTGTGTGTGTGTTTGTACGTAAATTTTGACGCGTTGTCACGTTGCACTGAGGAAAATTCCTATTAACCATAGTCAGAAATCGAATTATCCCAGCAAGAAACTTCAATAGCATAGGGGACAAGCGAGTTATCACCTGTGATTATAAAGTCGACTTTGCTGATTATAACCCACCTACTATTATTAGAAATAGAACCTTGCGGCCACTAGCGAGTGCATCTATATATTGCTATTATATAGACGATGTTTCTGTAGTAGGTATCTGACTTTGCTACCGCTAGTGAGTACATCTAATAATGGGAGTAGGGCAATGTTATAATGGTAGGTAGGAAACTTTGCTACTCTTGATGGGTGATCATATAGATAGTTGCATGACCTTCTTGCTGTAGTTGTTATTCAGTTATTTTCCAGGATTGTTGACATCAAGAAAGGTGAAATTTTGACTGATATCCAATTTCACTTCCTATAATTTACAATAATGATCTTTGGAATTCAATAGATCAATTGATTCATGCACCGTCAGGAAACAAGAAAAGTTTTTGAGTACCTAATTATAATTTTTCTGAAACTTCCTGAAACCTTCTGAAACCATTGTATTTCGAAAACTAGGCAAGTTATTACAGATGCGTACAGGAAAACAAAATGTTACCAGTAAAATCATTCAAATAATTTCATAACCTGAACATTTTTGCTCACAATAAGTTTTTAGACCACATCGAGGACCACATTCTATAGAGAAGCTCTGGAACATATTTGACAATTTCAAAGTTTCATGGCACCAAAAAGGAGGAAATGTTGTATGTAAAATATTTGAATTTCAGTCGAGATACCTCGAAAAAACTCACCTTTATCATTCCATATCAATCCTGAAAAGGACACAGAAGATTTTTTCAATTGTTTAAAAATGTTTCCATTTCATATTTGAATTTTGATTCAGATTTTAAATAATGAATTGAATTCAAGAGGGAAAGTATTCGTAACTGTCGTGTCGTCGAGATTGTAGTCCTGAACATAGCTTTGCATCAAGACCCCAACAGTGGATGATTGATCAAGCAAGATGTCTGACGACAAATGCTCATATAGAGGGGGACAAATCAGCAAAATATCGAATAACGATAACTAGGCCCTAAATAACCCCAAGTAGGTTCGTCAATTATTATTTTCGTGTCAGACTAACTGTTGTATTACTGGTAGTAAGTGCAGTTCTATATGATGAACCTCGCAGCCACAAGCATATAACTCACTAGTAGTAGTACAGCTGGAAAATTATTAAAAAAAATCATGCT